GTGAAATTAGGGAGACAAACTGGACTGGTGCAGTGTCTGGGTAAGAGCAGGTGGTGACTTGGACTGGGATGGTGGCAGCAGAGATAGTTGGAAGTACACTTGGCGGGTAGAGATGACATGGTTTGCTGATGAACTAGACTGGCTCAGGTAGGAGTGAAGAAAAGAAGGAGATCAAGGATGTTTCTCTGGTTTGAGCAACTGGGTAGACAGGGTGTCATTTGCTGAGCTGAAGAAGCCTGGTGAAGGACAGTTTTAGATGTTGAGGCTGAGGTGCCTGTGATACCCCAAGGGGAGGTGTCAAGCAGGTCTCTGACTACAGAGTTTGCAGGAGAGGTTTACGCTGAAAACATAACTTGGAGGGTCACAGCATACAGATGTTTTTCAAAATGGGGGCAGTGGATGAGCTCACATGAGAAGAAAGAGAGAGAAAAGGAGAATACTATGGAGATCTCCGTATCTAGTGATCAAGAAAAGGAGGACAAACAGGAAAAACAGGCAGAAAAAGTGCAGCTGAAAGGAGGAAAACCAGGGGAGGGTAGTATTGTGGAAGCCAAGAAAGGAGAATGTTTCAAGAAGGCAGGAATGGCCAGCAAGGCCAAATGCCACTAAATACAGACTAGTAGGATAAGGATGGAGAAGTGGCCGCTGGGTTTGGCAACACAGCGTTCTAGACACCTACCTAGGTAAGAGGAATTTCAGTATACTGATAGAACTGAGATCAGGCTGGAGTATGTTAAGGAGGAACTGGAAAAACGGGACATAAACAGACTCATAATCATCATAAAAATTAAGCCAGTAGCTAAAAAGCTATACTTTCCCTCTCAACAAATGAAAAACACTAGGTTTTGCAGACCTTCAAGATACAGATAATTCCTATCTTACATAAACTGTTCCAGAGAACAGAAAAGAATAATAGAAAAGAAGGGAAAGAGCCTCAATTTACTTTATGAGGCTGTTACAACCTTGTTACCAAAATCAGACAATTATTATATGAGAAAGAAAAGTTATAGGCTAGCCTCATCTCATTTACAGAGGCAGATATCCTAAAAATATTAGCAAATCATGGAATCTAATTTAAAAAATGACAGACTCAAAAACCAACTAATGGTTACCAAAGAAGAAACACGGTGGGGGAGAGATAAATCAGGAGGTTGGGATTAACAAACACACACTACTATATATAAAATAGATAACCAACAAGGACCTACTGTATAGCACAGGGAACTCTACTCAGTATTCTGTAATAACCTATATGGAAAAAGAATGAATACATGTATACATATAACTGAATCACTATGCTGTACTCCTGAAACTAACACAGCATTGTAAATCAACTATACGCCAATAAAATTTTTAAAAAAAGATACAATCTATATAGCTATACCTGTATCTATAATGGAATACTACACAGCCATAAAAAAGAATGAGATAATGCCATTTGCAGCAACATGGATAGACCTAGAAATTAGCATACTAAGTGAAGTAAGAAAGAGAAAGACAAATACCATATGACATCACTTATATGTAGAATCTGACATATGACACAAATGAACTTATCTATGAAACAAACAGACTCACAGACATAGAGAACAAACTTGTGGTTGCCAAGGGGGATGGGGGTAAGGGAGGGATGGATTGGGAGTTTGGGATTAGCAGATGCAAACTATTATATATAGAATGGATAAACAACAAGGTCCTACTGTATAGCACAGGGACTATATTCAACATCCTTTGTGATAAACCATAATGGAAAAGAATATGAAAAATAATGTGTATATATATGTATAACTGAATCACTTTGCTGTAAAGCAGAAACTAACACATTATAAATCAATTACACTTCAATAAAATAAGCTTTAAAAAAATAAAAAAGTAAATCAGCAAATTGAATCCAACAATATACAAAAAATAATTCATCACAACCAAGCAGATTATAGCCCAGGAGGCAAAGATGATTTAACACCAGAAAATGTATTACTAGTTATTAACACAGGAAAGAAGAATATAGTGTTATCTCAATAAACATAATAAGCATTTTATAAAATCCAAAATATACACATTTATGATTTTGAAAAAAGCAACTCTTAGTGAACTGGGAATAGAAAGAAACTTCCTTTTGCTAATAAATAATATCTATCCAAACTTGCAATAAACATAATACTTAATGGTGAAAAGAAGCATTCTCTTTAAAGTCAGGAATAAGACAAGGATATCCACTATTGCTGCTCCTCTTCCATAATAAAACAAAGGACAAGAAAAAGTAATAAAAGTTGTAAAAATAGGAAGAAACAACACCATCATTCACTAAAAAAATATGATCGTACCCACAGAAAAATCCGAGAGAATCTAAGATAAACCATTGTAATTAACGTTAGCAAGGCTGCTGGATACATCCTCAAAATACAAAAATCAGTAGTAGTCCTGTATACTAGCCACAAAAAAGTTGGATGATGTAATAAAAAAATTTATAACAGCAACCAAAATGGTAAGCTACCTAGGACTAAGTATCTAATAAAAGATGTGTAAGATCTTTATGAAGAAAATTTTAAAACTTCACTGAGGTATGTTTAAAAAACAGAAAGCATATAAAAAGATACCATGTTCACAGTTAGAAAGACTCCATATCATACAGCTGTCAAATCACTCAGATACAGTTCATAAGTCCAGAAAAGCCAAAAGAGTTTTGAAGAAGGATCGTAAGTAGGAGTCTCACCTGACCAGATATCAAGAAAGTTGGGGAAATCTTCCTTTTCCCTTGCTATGAAGGAACATGATTTAAGAGTAACGCTCCTGGCCTCTCTCCATCCTCCCACTCGCTCTTAGAGGAGGAGGGCCTTTTCTAATCAGTGAATTTAGAGGGAAAAATAAAACCTGGGTATTCTTGGCCTAGCCCCATCTGGGTTCTTGGAGGAGTCGCCTGACAACCCTCTATAGTATAGTTAAGGGCCTGCCTCTGCGGGGAAAGCCTGAGGTTCTCCAGTTCACATCGTGATTGCAAAAGTAAGTTCAATTTTGAGTGATGTCTTTGCAAGCCCTTTTATTATAGATCTAAAGCCACTTGGAAAATGCAGCTTTATCAGTAATAAAACTGACATTTTGATTCCTATTAGTCTGTCTCTTGTATCTCCCCTCTCAAGTGGTTCCAAATGTCAGAGGGAAGAGAGATGCTCAAACCTCAATAAGACTTATAGAAATTACACCTTATATTAATTAAAAATGTGGTACTAGTCTATAGATAGACAATAAAACGATGAAGCAGAATAGGGAGCCTGGAAACAGATCTGTGTGTAAGTGTGAACTTGATGCATGAAAGAGACGGCATTATCAACAGTGGACAAAAGATAGTCTTCAATAAATGACACTGGGACAATTTGCTGTCTGTACTGAACAAGATTCATTTTAGTTGATTAATCGGGTGGTGCTGTGAGTTGCCTCTTTTTTTGATCATTTTAAGTTATTTACCATGTGTGTTATAAAACCTTTCATGAATTATATACCTTGTTTCCAACTAGATGACAAATCCCTTGAAGGTAGGGCTTGAGCCTTATACTTCTTGTTACCTCCAGAGTACCTATCACGGAACTTTACACTGACAATGTTAAATGCATGCCTGCTAGCTCACTTTTTAAATTATTATTATCATCATTACTATTATTGTTTTACATTAAAACTCAGTTCCTAGACCTCATTCCTCAGGGCATACAGGTCCATATCAACACGAATTTTTTATAATTATTTTGATATTCTGAGTAGAATTTTTTAAACAATTGTGTATTTGCTTAACAGAAGTCCTATCTAAAGTCAGACATCCAGAATTTGCATTTTGAAGATCATGAGACAAAAACAGAAAACGTCAAAGGTAAATTCATAGATGTCACTTTCTTGTTATCCTCAAGGCCTATCTTGATGGCACAGAAGAAATTGAAACTATTCTTGTACTTTCCTCCCCACAAATTATTTTTCCACCTACCATCTCACTTCATCCTCACCACAAACCAGTGAGATGAGCAGAGCAGGGATTATAGATGAGGAAATACGTTTCAGAGAGGCAGGAGTTTAAATTCACACAGCAAATCAGAAAATTGAAATGGCAAGGTTACATGGATAACTTATTTGAGGTCTTTAAAATAGGTTGTTACACTGTGATAAAGGTTGAACAATTTGGCTTGAATAAAGGAATCTCAAAACTTAAAAAACAAAAATTCACATAGGAAATCAAAAAAGATCTGGGATCAGAAGCCAGTGCTCTTTAGAAGAAACCGTGCTGTTCCCAGTTGTCTAACTAAAGGCCTGATATGAATTCACGTGATTTTGTAAGTCATTGCCCATCATCCAAGGATTCGAATTACTAAATGACTTGAGCCAACAGCTTTCCATTTACTTAAGTCGAACGAATCATCTAATGTTTTCTTTGCATCACTTTCCCTCTCCCCTTGTCTTTGGAAGAGGGTCATGTCCATCCTGACAAAGCACTTTTAGGCAGCAGCTTGCCCTTATGGCACAATAGGCACTGACATCACATGTGAGAAACGTTCCTGTATGTGTGTGCCTCTTGGTCTCAGACTAGGTCCTGACAGCCTGACCTATCCCTTGTGTGCTTTCTTCCCTTCACTCTCACAACCACTGATCCTGATGCTTATTCTGTCCTTCGCTTGTTCTTTGGAAAAGTCCTGGGGGCTCCATGTCCCCCTTTTACGAATCACATGGCTATCCTCTAGTCTCTGCTTCAGCCAAGCTCTCAAGGATTCCTTGTCCCGCCAACCTTCCCATGTCCAAACAGCACCCCTTTGAACTCACCCCCCTTCGTGGGTGCTTCGCCCTCTTAGCCAGACTGGAGCTTAGACCTACACAAGTATGATGGCTGCCTTTCCTTTTCTTCAGATATCTTATTACAGAAGAAAACCCAGAAGGAAGGTGTGGAGCGATGTGGAAGTCAGGCAAGTTTCTCAGGATTATTATCCACATTGCAGTTTCTGGGTATGAGAGATAAAGGTACTCACCACCTGACCATTAGTCCGTGCTCCATGAAGTTTTTCAGGTTAGGGAGGGTTTGCCTCAAGTCTGGGGTCCCTAGTCCATGTTGATATCTTAGCTGCAAAGGTGGAAAAACAGAATTAAAAGAAATTTTCGCAGATACTAGGCAATGCTTCCCAAACATGATTCACTAAACAAGTCCCTCTCCCCCCCGCACCCCATTTTAAACGCTGAAAGAGGAAATGTGAGTGTATGATCCCAACATCATCAACCTCACTTTTTGGATGGTGTTTAAAGGTAGCCTCCTCGTTTCCTGCTCCCTTGCCCTCTAACGTTGGAGAAGACTAAGAACCACCAACTGTGGAATCAGGATTATTTCCAAGACCCCTGTAGAGTTTGCTAACATCAACCCCAGGGACATATACCATAAAACCAGTATTTCATTTTAGGTACTGAAGGTTGGTATTACACACTCTGAGCACACTCAGCCCTTTTTACACTGACCCTTTTCCCTTTGTAGAATCAAGAACAAGGGTCATGTCGTATCCATCTCTGATCCCCAAATGTCTGACACAGTGCTAGTGCTCAGTCAATGCTTATTAAACAAACAGCAAGTCACTTTTGACAGAGGCTGTGCTTTATGTTATTTCTCTTGTGCCTCTAACTTTCCTCTTTCTCTAGGACCAGAGTAGAGAGCTATAGAGCTAGTATGAGGAAACTATGGCCTGTGGGTAAGATCTGCTCTTAGCTTTACTTATTTCTGCTAGAGGCTGATTTTCTAAAATTATGTGTCCTTCTATGTGCCTTGGGTAACCTACTAAATGGTTTTAATGTCTGTTCCCGTCTCCTCTCATTTTGTCTCTGAAGACTGTTTGCTTCCTTCACTAAACATAATAGAGACCCGAGGTAAGTATATGTGCATATTCATACACACGCTCACACACACAGCATCAAATACACAGTAAGTGTACAACACAGCCCTGTAGAAATGTATTTTTCAAATGACATAATATATATGAAGAAAGGACTCTGTAAACTGCATACTGATGTACAGATATGAAGGGTCATCTGTATTGAAGTTTTACTTTTCTAGCACCTAATTTAAAAGTGGCTAAGTTAAACTTTTAAATATTTTCCTCTTTTTAAAAAAAATGAAACCACTATCAACAGAAAAAGTAAGTTTTCTTTTGTTTGTATCTAGTACTCTATTGACTTTTCACTTAAGTGTGAGTGACATTTAACAGAGAAAGAGTTCACTCTCACTACACTGAACTTTAGAAAGAAACCCCCAAACCTAATCAGGTCCCTTGAATGGTCTGAATACACACATAAAATAAGGAGGCAGAAACACAGAATGTTAAAGCTAAAAGGTATCTTGAATATTATTTAAGCTAATCCTTTTCTTGTGCAGATGGGAAAACTGAAGCCGAGAAAAAGAGCAAGGGAATTCTCCAAAGCCACATGTTTCAATGGCAAAGACATTATTAGCCAGAGTCTCCTTTTCACAACCATGCCACTACACCAGCTACCCGAAAGTCCAAGAGGAAAATTGGTTGATAAAAAACCAAAACACCAAAATCTTGAGAGGACAAAGGGAAAACATTCTTTTCCTTTTCCAAAGCTAGCTTGGTGACCTAAATCACCTCCTGAGATTTGCTGACCTTGAATTATGAGATCTCCTCCATATTAAATGACATCATTTCTTATATTAATATAAAAGCATTTTTTCCACACATTGATAAAATGGCTGACATCCCAATATGACATTCCTGAATTCATTGTTTCAATAAAAAAGTGAAATTGTTTACACATGGCATGAAAATCTCACCTGTGATTCGTACTGAAAAATATTAAATATCAAAAAAAATAAAATGACCCCATACTAAAATAACACTAAGCTATGTGTCCCTGAGCCAGTACGTGGTCAATTGCCTGCCCCAGGCTCCATAATCCAAGGTGGGTGTTGAATTCTTTTCAGAGACCACAGTGAAAATTTCTCTCCAAGTCTGATTTCAACTAAAAAAGGGAACTGTGGGAATTTCAAGCCTCCACCCAAGTCTTAACTCTTCATTTGTTGTATAGCATTATTATCTTTATCATAGACTCTTGGGATATCTAGCTTAAAGAGATCATGGAGATTATCTTTTCCAACCTCCATCCTTTCATAAATGAAGAAACTAAGACTCAGTAAGACAAGTGTCCTGCCCAAGGTCTCAAAGCTGATAAGGGCCAAAGCCAAGGCTAGAACCTCTCAATAACAACTCTGAATTCTTTCTATCATGTAGCCCTCTTAACTTTCAACATACAGAACTAAAATAGAAATTCATACATAATAAGAATATATTAAAATTTTAAAATAAAGTACACGTACTGTTTTAAGTCTAACCTACTGAAAGGCTTACAATGAAAAAGCAGCAGTTCTTTGCTCTTCAGTAGCAACCACTTTTAGTTGTTTCTTCTTTACCTTCACATTTCTAAATAATACACATATGAATATTTCTTACTCTTTCCCCCTCGTTTAGACATCATCTACTATGTTCGTGCTATGTAAAATGAGAATTTAGCTCTTAGCACGTTTTATCTCCTTATCCCCATACATTACCTACTGACTTCTTATTAAATATGAGGATTTAACTCTCCACTCTCCCAAATATACTTCTCATCCTCTCAAGCTATTCAATTATTTTTGAATATAACATTTTTTGTTAAATCAATATTTAGTGTTTACCTTATACCTACAATAATACTGCTCACTGCTAAGCCATATAGTGTACTATTCCTTTTTTGACCTTTTGTTTGTTTTTCCTGAAGTGATAATTGCCGTTTTCCCCACTTGTTGAGTACCTACCTTGTGGATAGTACTACTTGTTGAGTATCCACGTACCTATCACTAGATTTTCCCCCAATTAGGACAAAACCTTAAATCCTTCCCAATCTGATTAAAGACACCATATAATCTATCAAGCCCATTTCCCCCCTTGGAGATTGTTTCCTGAAGCACCCTTCTCTCTGCTCCAATCTGAACAGGCTGCTCTCTAGGCTGGTTCCATTGTTACCTTCCTGGAGCTTTCTTTCACCACAATCCTGGAAATTCTGTTTACAGTCATCCCCCTGTATCCCCAGGGGATCAGCTCCAGGAGCCCCTGCAGACACCAAACTCTGTGGATGTTTAAGTCCCTCATATAAAATGGTGTTGAATGCACAATGAACATAGTCAACCCTCCACATCCAGGGTTTTGCATCAGTGGATACAGAGGGCCAGCGGTACTTCTGTGCTGAGGCTCTTGTTTCCTAGATCTCATCACTTCTTTCTTGATTTACTGTCTCATTTTGGTGGAGCATATTCTGTAACAGCTTTCTGGGAAAGGGCCACATGAGAGGTATCTTTTTTAACACCTTGAATATTTAAAAATACCTTTATTCCATTCTCACACTTGAATGATAGTTTCCTTGCATATAAAATTCAAGACAAATGATTTTCCCTTTGGAATTTCTGAAGTATTGTTTCACTGTCATTTAACTTTGCATATAGCAACTGAGAAACCAGATAACATTCTGATTCCTGATCCTTTGTGTGTGAGCTGATTCCTGTCTCTGGAAGCTTTTAGGATTTTATTCTTTAACCTCAGTATTCAGAAATTTCACAGTGATAAGCTTTTGTTTGGGTCTTTTTTTCTTCACTGTTTTGATCTCACTTCAGTGAGTCCTTTGTTCTTGTTTTATTTCCTTCCAGTTTTATTGAGATATAACTGACATACGGCTCTGTATAAGTTAAAGGTGTACTGCATAATGATTTGACTTACATACATCATGAAATGATTACCACAATAAGTTTAGAGAACATCCATCATGTCATATAGACACAAAATTAAAGAAAAAAAATATTTTTTCCTTGTGATGGGGACTCTTAAAATTTACTCTCTTAACTTTCATATATAACACACAACAGTGTTAATTATATTAATCATGGTATATATTACATCCCTAGTGCTTACTTATCTTATGACTGGAAGTTTGTACCTTTTGACTACCTTCACCCAATTCCCACCCTCCCATCTCACCCCTACCTCTAGTAACCAGAAATCTGATCTCTCTTTCTATGAGTTTGTGTTTGAAGTATAACTGACCTACAACACTATGTTAGTTCCTGGCGCAAAACACAGTGATTCGATTATTTCTATACATTACAAAGTGATCACCACAATGTCTGGTTACCATCTGTCACCATACAAAGATATTACACTATCGCTAACTATATTCCCCACACTGTACATGTCATCCTTGTGGCTCATCTGTTTTGCAACTGAAAGTTTGTATCTCTTAATTACCCTCACCTACTTCACTCCTTCCCCCACATACTGGCCTTCCTCTGGCAACCACCTGTTTGTTCTTTGTAGCTCTGACTCTATTTCTGTTTTGTTATGTTTGTTCATTTGTTTTTTTTTTTAGATTCCACATATAAGTGAAATCATATAGTATTTGTCTTTCGCTGTCTGACTTATTTCACTTAGCATAATACCCTCTAGGTCTATCCATGTTACTGCAAATGGCAAGATTTTGTTCTCTTTTATGGCTGAGTAATATTCCAGTGTATGTGTGTGTGCACGTGCATGCACGTGTATGCCCCACATCGTCTTTATCCATTCATCTATTGATGGGCACTTAGGTTGCTTCCATATCTTAGCTATTGTGAATAACGCAGCAATGAACATAGGGGTGCATACATCTTTTCAAATTAGTGTTTTTGTTTTCTTTGGAAAAATACCAGACTTGGAATTGCTGGATTGTGTGGTAGTTCTATTTTTCATTTTTTGAAGAGCCTCCATACTGTTTTCCATAGTGGTTGCACCAACAGTGCACAAGGGTTCCCTTTCTCCACATCCTTGTCAACACTTGTTATTTCTTGTCTTTTTAATAACAGCCATTCTGACAGGTGTGAGATGATATCTCATTGTGGTTTGGATTTGCATTTCCCTGGTGGTTAGTGATGTTGAGCATCTTTTCATGTGTCTATGGGCCATCTCTGTGTCTTCTTTGGGAAAATGTCTATTCAGGTCCTCTGTCCATTTTTTAATCTGGTTGGTTGTTTTTCTGATTTTGAGTTGTCTGAGTTATTTG